TGTTATAGGGATGACTTTTTAGATCTGATCGAAAAACTAGTGAGAGAAATTTTTGAATTGTTACCTACGCTTACCACTAGTGGTGGCGCCATCCTAGGAAAGTGGGGGGGGGGGGAATATTCCACCATTTGTGTTGGCCGTTTCGGTAACGTGTCCACAATTTATTTAGAAATAATCATATTTTTTATAATTTCTAAATTAGGTACGAAATGTTAAAATTAAACAATCTCTAATGCTAAAGAATGGAAAGGTATTACGCCTATGGAGTGCGATAGTGACCTGTGAATAAAAACTGATTATATTACTGTATACTGTAGCTTACGCTGAGTATAGGGGTCAGTGAATTTGCCCGAAGGGCCTGTGATTCGAAGGTCCGTTGGTCCGAATGTCCGTTGGTCCGAAGTAATTATTTCAAATATAGACAAAAATATATTTGAAGAAAACACATGTTCGGGAACACCATGTAGGTCTATATTGGCTAACAATATAAAATTATTGCTAGCATGACTTGTCAGCTCAGTTTATGTATATTTTTTAACAAAGTATTAGAAATTGAAAAGATTCACAAAGAAGACACATTGACAGTAGCGGCAAAAGCATCTAATATAAATTAAATTAATATGAACGTTAAATACTTTAGTTGTCTACTCAGAAGCTAAATCACTGTAGCGTTCACAACTCGGTGTACAGTACTTCCATATTTTGTTTAATGACAGCCCCGCCCATTCTCTTTTATAGGTCTAAAAGTCTACCTAATATAGGCTTATATCAGGGAATGCAGTAACATACAGGAGGAAAGATTGGAGATTTTAAAAAAACTGCTTGAACCACCCCAGGTTCTCTTAACCTACGTAGAAATTGTCCACAGCTGACTAAGACCTTAAGCTCTGCCTAACCCTTTGTGATATGACCTACGAACACGATAGAGATAGTGTTTTCGATTTATTTTGTAAATCAACTATGCCTAATAAGGGCGTGGAAAAAACCACGCAAATATATATATTTTTTTTGTAAGCGCCGCTCTCGAATAAGCACTGAAGCCTCCAAAAATGTTATAAGCGCCGCGGCGCTTATATGAGCATTTACGGTACCGTACATAGAGTAGGCCTACATCAAAACTCAGGCTACGTCCCTGTGTAAAGCGCTATATAAATACCTACATATTTATTATTATTATTATTATTATTATTATTATTATTATTATTATTATTATTATTATTATTATTATTATTATTATTATTATTATTATTGTGATTATTAATATCTATATGTTCATTCTCCTAATCGCCACCGCGTAACTTCCCCTATCTAATCTGAAACCGCTGCAAAAGTATGTGCTCATATCTCATATACTGGGGCTTCTATATGTCATGACCGACATTCCGCTACTTTTAAGGCTGAATATTGGATAACAACGAAAAAACAGCCAAAAACCACCGGAAATCGGTACCTGTTTCGGAAGTTGCTTACGTTACGTAAATACAATTAATCACATCTATTTTGTACTGCAATGCTAGGTCTAAAAATTATCGAGTCGGACCGTAAAAGAACCAGTCTATGTTTCGCAGCTTCATTACGTCACCGCCGCGATTTTTTTCTCCGTACGAAACATTTCCATGAAACTCCACTCGGGCTGTCCCGACTGACTCGACTCGAAAATCTCAATTCTGGAGTCAAAAGGTCATCAACCAAAGATAAACGTCTACAGAACTTCTGAGATACATCATTGTCGCTCGCTGTCTGATTTTGAAGAATACATTGACGTTGAGATAGTATAATACATACTCCAAGTATCGAAATGCATGCCATAGTGTCGGGATTCAATATTTCGACATTATGTCATCATCAGGAATGAAAAATTATCCATATTTGCAAGCTTATATGCACAAGTACCAAAAGTGTTTGACTAATCAAAACATTTAGTAGATGACATAGCTATGAATAAACTAAAGGTCAAAGCATCCTTACCCTACTGATCAAAGTTACCTACAAAAACAAAGAGAGCTCCTTTAAATCTTTCAGCCCATTGTTAAGCAATTGACGTTGCCATGCTAATAACTAATGGCTAGTTTAAAATGACAAAATGTAATATTTGATTTAGCTGCACGAATAATAAAATTGTTATTTGAACTTGAGTTACATGGGGACATTTGTTTTTTAGGTGGCCTAGGTTTTGGATAATTATAAGTACCAGGCCTAGAACTACTAAAAATTATGCATAGAGGCAGGGAGTTTGGAGTGGTCATATACTAAAAGAGAATGTGGTCACTTACTCAAAAAAGTTTTAGAAGGTGGCTTTCAGAGGAAAGCACAAATATTAAGGAAAAGAACAACATTTAATTGAACAAATGAGACAGGGTGACAGTTATTTTGACATTAAAAGAAAATCTGAGAATAGACAGCTCTAAAATAAGGATAACATCATAGGACCTGCAAAAATAGCAGAGCACCAATGAATGAATGAATGAGGCCTAGTTTTTAATTATAGGCCTAGCAAATAATATTGTACTGTAGGTGCTTCTTAATTACAAGGCTTAAGCCAAGTTAATTAAATAATAATTATTTTTATTATTATTTATTTTATTTTAATCGTTATTATTGTTATTATTGTTATTATTATTATTATTATTATTATTATTATTATTATTATTGTTATTATTTAATATTAATTACATAACAAGGTTTAGGCAAAGTTCATAAATGACGGAATGATATATTTAATTTTATTATTTAATAATATTCTTCTTACGCACTGTCCCATTTTAATTTCATGTTTTCAAATTTGTTTCAATTTTTTTTTTTTTATTTTAGTCAATGTCATGTGAAGCGTGACTATTGTGTCAGGCCCTGGACCCAGCTTAGCTAGGTACCGGGCTGGGTAATAAGAGAAAAGAAAGAGGGGAGAGGGAGGGAAAGAGAAAGAAGAGGAAAAGAAAAGGAAAGAAAAAGAAAAAGAGAAGAGAAAAATAAGACAAGAATAAAAAGGAAGATATCATAATGACCAGACTCAACCCCTTCTCCACTTCAAAAACTGTCATAACTCCTTTGATCTATGCTCCCCAATGGCGTAACCACTGGGGGACAATGGGAAAATATCTATCTTTCAAAAATCTTTCCCACCCCTTTATAAATGCCCTTTTCATCCCCTGAAAGTGCCTAAAAACCTCAAATTTCGCACGCTTCGCGCGCATTTCTTGTTAACATGGGCCAATTTCCTCTAAAAATTGCACATTTTAGGGAGTTTTGATTAATTCCAACGAAATTAGAATTAAAAACACCGGGGGACAATTAGGGAAAATATCCATCTTTGGAAAATCTTTCTGCACCCCTTGACAAATGCATCCTCTGAAAGTGCCTAAAATTCTCAAATTGTTTGTGTGCATTTCTTGTTACTGTAGGCCAATTTCCTCGACCCTATAAATTGCACATTTTAGGGAGTTTTCATCAATTCCGACGAAATTAGAATTAAAAACACAAAAATATTTTTTAGGGCTTTTTTAGGTTTATCCTTTTAAGTTATTTAAACACATAATAGTCCCAAAACTCAAGAAAGACAAATTTAAGATAGATCGTTTTAACCTAAAAGAAGGGCCTCAATGTGTATTTATGGTGAAAGGATATGTTTGTAATAAATAAAACCATGATGAAAATGCTTAGGCCTATATTTAGTTTCAAACACACGTGTGTGGCCTATATTATAATTAAGATAAGCCCTATGTCGTATTGTTTTCTATATGGGGAGTGGGGTGGGGTGGGTATGGTAAATTACTAACCGGGAAAATAAATACCGTACCCACTCTGACCCAAGCCCCCTGTTACACGCCTGGTGTTAGCGCCAATATGTGCCCTTGTGCGGACAGGGGATGTGCCCCCTATGAAGCTGGAAATCTTGTTTTTGCAAAATAAATTGATGCAATTTGCTATTATAGGCCTAATCAATAAATTCCTCATCAACCGATATAACCATAAACATTCTTGGAATTGACATAACATTCAGTGTGAAATGTGGCTCTCTTTGCAAGCACATCTAACATCTAAGGAAAGAAGAGCTTAGATTGGTACCAGATAAAATAATTTTGCTAGATGTGTATAAGAGACAGATAATTTTGTTATCAACATTAATACATTATGCTAATTTTCATCTTTGTAAGCGCATAAGACAGTGCAAATTATTTCTGTGACAGTCTTTTGAAGTGTGTAAAGCTCCATTTTATGCCATACACAGTCAAAATATTGGGGGGGGGGATGATACAATGGACCATTCCCCCCCCCTTGTCAAATATTGGGGGATATATCCCCATCCCCCGGGATCTACGCCTTTGAACAATACAGTAATGAAGAATACTCAAGCATCACGACATTGCGAAGCGCCTGCTCTTAAAGAACTCGAGTCGATCGAGTCATTCCGAGACGGGCAGAGTGGAGTTTCATGCAAATTTTTCGTACGAAAAAAAAATCGCGCCTTATAGGCCAGTACTTCTCAAATCTCACCAAAGGATCTCACGTTCGTCAACAAAATAGGTGACAAGCATGTTCCCGTGGATACAGTGGCGGATCCGGGTGGGGTTGGGGCGATGGCGAACCCCCTCTGTGAAAAAACGTAACGAAATTTGTGTCCCGGGTTACAAAAGGCATGCTCACCTACCTAGGAATAGGTTGGCAGATCGGACAAAGTAGGCTTAGCCCAACTAGCATTTAATTAAACAATTAAAAACAGTTTTTGGCTCAACGTCGTAATAATTTATGTACGAAAGTGTGTTCTTCAGGTCTACGGTTCATCGATCTATAAGAAAGACTACGTATCCAACTACTCAATATTGTTTTAATATAGGCCTAATAATGTATTGACTTTTATCTTTGATTTTCTTCTATGATATAGGCCTAAAGAATGAGATAAAATCACCTGACCTTTTTCTTAAGAAGGGAAACCTTGAATTTTGAAGAAATTAAAGGTCGTGGAAAGACATCAGAATTAACAAAAGCTCATTTCCGGCCATCTAGGAATCAAAATTTTCCCGGGGGAGGACCCCGAACCAACCCCCCCCCCCCCCCCTTTCATTTTCGGGTTTTTTGGAAACATTTTGAACCCCCTCTTTCAAATCCTGGATCTGGCCCTAGGATGGTACCTCTTCGGAGTACCCATTGCATTATACTGGATATATTGTAGTTTTATGGCACAAAAGATCAGCAATAAATGGCATGTTTTAGAAGTCGATCAGATAAAAATAAAGATATACCTGTGCACAAGCCAAAAGAACCTCGGCCTAACCATACCGGCTAGCCCTCACAGGCCTAGGGAGGCCTACTATGTAGGCACAGCCCTAGGCTGTAGCCTAGGCCGCGCCTTGCCTAGCCTATGATGTCGATCAGAGATAGGCCTAGACCTAGGGGCCTAGCTAGGCTGAGGTGTAGTTAGCCTACCGAGGGCCTCCTCTTCTATCTCTCGAATCTGGGTCGATTTGGAGTGCATTAAGAAAGATAGGGTCAAGCCAGCTCCACCAATCAATACCTTGAATTTACGTAAACACGTCGGGACAATGTTTATTTTGAAAGTCAGTAAGT